CTCAAGCAGGGTTCACACTCATCACAGAGCCCAACATGGGGCTTGACCCCACGACCCTGGGATCATGACCTGAGCCAAAATCAAGAGTCAGACGCTCAACCGACTATGCCACCCAGGCGTCCCTTGAATCGATTTTCAAAACAGCAGAGCCATAGGAGATAAAAACAAACAACATAAGTAATCAAATTCTTAACCACAGATTTAGAACAGTTAGATAATCACCAAAGAGAAGAATTTATTAATAGTATCTATTGTCATTGTCATCTATGAAAACATTTCAGTAACAAATATGAGGCTTGCCACCACATCTTCTACTAAATACATCATACCTTTGCCGTTTTTTACTTCATGTTTCCTTTTTGGTATTTCTGATATCATAAGCTTAAATGACATACAACAAAAAGGCAACTCAGGAACTCATGGAATTTCACCTGCAAGGTATAATGTACAAACTTGGAGGGGATGGAAGAACAAAAACATGGTCTTGAACTTGAAAGGATTTTTTTTTAATGGTTTTTATTTTTGAGAGAAAGAGAGAGAGACACAGAGTGCGAGTGGGGAGGGTCAGAGAGGGAGAGGGAGACACAGAATCCAAAGCAGGCTCCAGGGTCTGAGCTGGCAGCACAGAGCCTGATGTAGGGCTTGAACGTGGAGATCAGACCTGAGCCTAAGTCGGATGCTTAACCGACTAAGCCACCCAGGCGCCCCATTCAACTTGAAAGGATTTCTAATTCAACCCTAACTAATGCAGCCAGATACAGGAATATTTAAGTGCAGCATCACAGGCCTGGGAGAACAACACACACATGGTATGAATCAACTGTGCTAAACAGGCTTTAAAAATATGAATCAACAGTCTTAAGAAGATTTGACTTCGAGGGGCAACACCTGCTCTGAACGGACATCCTTGGGGGTTATTTGGAGCAGGGGAGATTCAGGGCTTAGTCTGATCTTCAAGGACAACCACAGACATGAACAAACTCCCCGAGCTCCAACCGGCCCACGTAATGCACTCTTAGGTCGAATCCAGAATCAAGCATGTCTAAAGGGGTGGGCGTTAGAACTGCTCTTCACCAGATGGCTAACTTCCTCCAGCTCTCTTCAGAGCTGGCTCTCAGCCTGACTCATCCGGATAGTAGGAAAATCTCTCCAAACCGCACCGAGGCAAGGCACCGCGCAGGTCCCCTGGAAGAGCCGGGGTGTTCTGCGCAGTGGAGATAAAGCGGGTTTTCACTTTAGCACATTAAGTGACATTACCTGAGCTTCTTGGCAGGCGGCTCTCCTTAGCAGGTTATCACTATCAAAGCAAACAAAGAGAATGAACATTAGCTTTAGCAAGCAGGTTAAGATCCAAACAAGTAAGACTGGCTTTTTCAGGTATTTAAAAAAAGAAAGTACAACCCTTCCCTATAAAATACCCAAGTGAAAGTTTCTAAAAGACCTGTAACAAAGCACAGGCACTTGTGAAAAGTACTTTCCCTGAATGAAATCCTGTGTTAAGTATTTACATAATGGTAGACAAAATACCACTCCCTCCAGGACGCCCACATCCTAATCCCCAGAACCTGAAAATATGTCACCTTACTTAGGTGGCAAAGGGGCTTTAACAGATGTGATTAAGTTTAGGATCTAGAGATGGGAAGATGATCCTGGTTTTATGCAGGGGAGCCTAATCTAATCACAGGGGTCCCTAAAAGTTCCTGCCTGTGATCAGCACCAAAGGGGACTATGGAAAAATTGTCAGAAAGGTGCAAGTTTGCTGGCGCTGAGGATGGGAGGAGGCCGCCAGTCAGCGAATGGAGGTACCTTCTAGAAGCTGGAAAGGCAAGGAAATGGCTTCTCCCCTAGAGCCTCCAGAACGAGTGCAGTTCTTGTGGACACCTTGATTTTAGCCCAGTGAGACCCGTGTTGGACTTCCAACCCCAAGAACTGGAAGATGATAAATTCTTGCCATGTTAAGTCACTAGGTTTGCAGTGGTTTGTTAGCCCGGCATTAGAAGATTAACGTACCTATCCTGTACTTGTATTATCCAGTGGAAATTACTCAGGTCATTCTCCAGAAATAAATCTGATGTTTAGTTGCTTCTGCTACTGTTTTATCTGAATCTCTTATTTTTTATATCCCTGTCAGACACTCAATTATATCACAAGTGGAAAATTCTGGCATGAGGTGAAATTTTGGCTTGCAAAAATGAAAACATTCTGTCAGAAAAATGTTTGTCTATTTAACATAAAAGGTTCCTAAAATGTGTCTATGCCATTTATACTATAAGAGCATTTTAAATGGCTGATTGCCTACCAGACCCCAGGTCTTCTCCTTGTAAGAGTCTATCCTAATGCATGTTGATGGCGCGAAGATAGTAATTTGAACCTGGTTAACCACAGTTAAAAACACTAATAAACAATTTATAGGAAAGAACTGAAAGGAGAAAAGGGTTCTTTCACTTAAATTATTTCTAAAAAAATAAAAAAAAATACTCTTTTTAGACCATTCTCATAACATTGGAGACTTTGAATTTTACATTTTTAAAAAAAAAAATTTTTTTTAACATTTATTTATTTTTAAGACAGAGAGAGACAGAGCATGAACAGGGGAGGGGCAGAGAGAGAGGGAGACACAGAATCTGAAACGGGCTCCAGGCTCCGAGCTGTCAGCACAGAGCCCGACGCGGGGCTCGAACTCACGGACCGTGAGATCATGACCTGAGCCGAAGTTGGACGCTTAACTGACTGAGCCACCCAGGCACCCCGAATTTTGCATTTTTACAGTCATTCAAAACCTAATTTTGAGTTAAGGTTAAACTGAAAGAAATTAAACAACCTTTCGCTTTTTGCCATAGCTGCGGTCAAAGGCTACTCAATGATTTTTCTTCCACAGCCAGCCTGGAGAACCACCCCAGATTTCACAGAGCGGTCAACTTTCAGAAGAAAGCACTGTGTGAGGGAAGCACCCATGCCGCCCGTCTGTGGGTTTTTACCAAAGCACAACAACACTTAATTTGAAGGGATATGTGTCCCCTTTGTTTACTGCAGTATTATTTACAACAGCCAAGATGGGAAAGCAACCCAGTGTGCATCGACAGATGAATGGATACAGAAGATGTGGTATATAAATACAATGGAATATTATTCAGCCATAAAAAGAATGAAATCCTGCCATTTGCGAGGACATGGATGGAGCTAGAGAGTATAATGCGAAGCAAAATAAGTCAGAGAAAGACAAATAACATGATTTCACTCATATGTAGAACTTAAGAAAGAAAGAAACAAAGGGAAAAAAAAACAAAAGAGACAAACCAAAAAAGAGACTCTAACTAAAGAGTGGTTAGAGGGGTGGTTATGAAAGGGGAGGTGGGGGACGGGTAAAAGAGGTGATGGGGAATAAAGAGTACATTTATCAAGATGAGATCGCTTCTTGGCCTTTTGGCTAAGATCAAGTATATGATGGTGAGCGCCGGGTCATGTCTGGAACTGCTGCATCACTGTATTGTGCACCTGAAACTAATATAACACCATATGTTAACAATACTGGAATTTTCATTTAATTTAATTTTAAAAGTGCTCCCCATCTGAAACCTAAGAACAATGTGCTATTAAAATTAAAATGACACTCAAAAGTGCAGGCTGCTCTACAACAAACATTTTAGGGGAGCTAACCCTTTGTGAAATCTAGATGACAGGCACCTTTTACTGCCAGGCTCAGTCCCCACTTGCTTGAGTGACCATTCCCTCCTACCCTGTGGCAAAAGGTCGCTGCATAAGCTTCTCTCCTCTCCCCCACCAGAGATTCATAAATATTCATGTTTTGCTCTTCTACCCAAAAGCTCTCCATCAACTGCGCTCAGTGAATCGTCCTAACAGCAACAATTATATATGTAATTTAAACACACGCGCACGCGATTAGGGAAATTCAAGGCACAAAGTAGTAAAATATTTAAAAGTGATTAACATGACAACACCACTTTATAGTTGACTTGACACCTCACATCCACGACTTCTCTACCATGGCAAGGTAAAAATACTAAACCCTTGGTAACCAATAGATCACCAAAGAAAACTGGGTTCCTTGCAGCAACCTGAGCATTTGCCACTGGATCCCCTGGACTGGGCTAATCCTCAATCCAGCTTCCACACTGCCCTGGGGGGACCACTACCACCACGCAGAACTATGCTCCTCCAAACACCCACTTTAATGTATTTTTCCTATAAAATTACCTGTGCCTCCAGTCTTTTATACGACAGATACATCCTACGGATTACTCTCTACAAGGCTATAAAAGCTGCGTACCTGCCTGTATGTCCCCATCCCTTTCCCCCACCTGGCTCCCCTCCTAGCAGGGGCAGGCCCTTGAATGTGCCAGGCTCCTCTGGGTCATTACTAGATACCATCTGCCTTACTGTATTTCAGCCACATGGATTCCTGCAGACCTAGGTAAAAAGAGAATGACCCCAAATACAGACAAGAATATGGGTAGCACCTTGGATCATTTTTTTTCCCCAAATTCTTTTTCACTAGAAGTAAAATTTTGAATGTTAACTTGTGATTAAGTATATGATTAAAGACCTCAGTTCTCTTGAGCTTGCTAATACTACTTGATTTATCAGAGCACTATTCAAAATCAAAAGACTTTTTTATAATTAATTCCCTGGATTTTAATGTGCCAGATGGAATATGCTGTCAATGCCACCTGTGAGAAAGCTAGAATATGTACCAATTTAGATGCTACAAAAGAAAATCCCATTATAATCACAATTTTTTTAATATCAAAAATGGTATTAACTATCTTGATCTTGCTCTCCGAACCAAGCTGTTTCTAAAAATCACACATCCTCAAAGAAAAAATGATTTCTCCCATTGATATATTCTGATGATCTATAACCAGCTCTGAAAACTATTTCAAAAAAGAAATTCCAAAAATGTTTCAGGAAAGGCAGCTTTGTTGGAATAAAAGAGAAAATAACTTAAAATTCATAGAGCGACTTCCATGTGTCAGATATTATAGCAGCTGTTCTCACAAACCTTTAATCTTTGTAACAACCTTGCAAGACAGGCATTATATTCTCATTTTATGTATGAAGAAGTTGAGGCTCAGAGCAGGAACTGACTTGCCCGAGACCACCATGTGACTAAATGGTAGAGCTGGCATTCCAACCCATGCCAACTTGACCCTAAAATGCATGCTTTAATGCTTCCTCTTACCCTCAGAGAATCGTGAATGGGCAATACTCATTCATCTATCTACTTTATAGCACATTCATTCAATTAACCACATTACCTCCTAATCTCACTTAACTTTTAAAATTTGCATTCATATAATGTTTTTAGTAAGTTCAAGTACAATAAAGTTCCCAAAAGCAGCAGGTGAAATATTCATTGAACACAAAGTATTTGGTACGGTACAACGAACCAGATTGGGTCCTGACCTGAAATAGCTCTTGGCAAGTATTAGTGATAAAGTAAAAGACGGGTTTCTTTTTTTTTTTTTTTTTTTTTTTTTTTTTTTTTTTTTTTTTTTTTTAAACGTTTATTTATTTTTGGGACAGAGAGAGACAGAGCATGAACGGGGGAGGGGCAGAGAGAGAGGGAGACACAGAATCGGAAACAGGCTCCAGGCTCCGAGCCATCAGCCCAGAGCCCGACGCGGGGCTCGAACTCACGGACCGCGAGATCGTGACCTGGCTGAAGTCGGACGCTTAACCGACTGCGCCACCCAGGCGCCCCAAAAGACGGGTTTCTTGATAAATGATATGCCAGGCGCTGTGCAGATGTCCTGGATATACTAGTGAATAAACCCAGCCCTCCCCTCATGAAGTTTACAGATTAGAAGGGAAGAAAGACAATTTGACAGGCAATCGTAAGGTGACGTGACTTTTATGTGCTCTATAAAAGGGGCACATTTAGGAATACCTAATCGAGTCTTGGGGGAATTAGAGAAAGCTTTTTATAGGAAGTGGCCCTCAAGTGTACATTTAGGGGAGAAATAAAAAGTAGCAAGGCAAAAATAGGGAGGAGAACGCAAAGGAAACAGCATGTACAAGCCTGAGAGCGTGAGGCAGGGCCAATATGGGACAGTGAAAGTTCAGGACAGCTGGAGGCCAGCCTGCGATGGGAGGAGCCATGGAAGAGGAGGGGAGGCACAGGACAGACTGCCACGGTCCTTTTAAGCTATTTAAGGAATCAGGGCTTTACCCTTAGGACATAAGAAACTTTTTTTTTTTTTAATTTATTTTTTAATGTTTATTTATTTTTGAGACAGAGAGAGACAGAGCATGAACGGGGGAGGGTCAGAGAGAGAC